AAGAGAAGGTGGTGCGAAGAAAGTACCGATGTTGAATAAATCCTCTAAGGAATGGGACTGCACGGCTCTGTTCAGCGCTTCTCTGTTTTCACAAACTTTTGCGATGCCAGACAGTACTGGTGTTACGAGAACTTTGCATGAACTTTACGTCAGACCTCGCGCATTGCCTCATGGCGCGTTTCATTCGTCTGTTACTAGCCCCACTGGAAACTCGGCAGAGACTCACGCTTTAGCACTGGACCAGCTACGTTTGTTACGAAACACCCTTTGCCATCAGGTTACTACACGAAAGATTGAGAAAGCAACCTTTGATAGTTACATAGAGCTGGCTAAAGATGCTTTCACCACATTGAAACAAGACAAATCTAAACTCAATGAGATTGGAAACCTAGGCGAAGAAAATTTTCCTACTTTAAGACTTCAAAAGCTAGAAGACGAACTAAAGAAAGAAAAAGATGCTGCCATCAAGTTTAAGCAGATCGATGATCATCTCCACAAAATCCAGTCTCAAGTAAAAGATTTGAATATCGACGTAACTGATGTGAAGACTCTTGTGGAAGATGTCGGGTTAGACGTGAGAGATATTCTCTCCGACGTGAAAGATGTGATGACTGACACGACAGATGTAATGACACGAGTGGAAAATGTTGGATCAGACGTGAAAGATGTGAAGACACAAGTTGGATGTGTCACGTCAATTGGAAAAAATCTGAAAGCGGATGTAGAAAATGTAAAGATGGAAGTAAAAGATGTCAAGACCCTGCTGGTGGAAATCCAGTCAAATGTACAGGATTTAAAGACGAAAGTGGTTGATGAAAGAAAAACTATGAAAGCAGAAGGTAAGAGTGAATATCAGGTCGGTAACGCAAGGCTTAATTACGCTAGAAAATGTAACAACAAATCGTAATGACTTCACAGACCAAGTAAAACTCTCAGAACCCAGGTCAGGAAAAATGTTTCCGGCTTAAAGGCCAGGCATAAAATCAAAGTGACTCGGGTGGATATATTGTGTCATGAATGTAATTGACCCAAACCCTAAGTGTAAATAGCGATTGCACTGATAGTCAATGATCCTGTGATTCCAGGAAACAGAATTAAACCGTCATCCCCACAAAAGTCTTCCGCCACGAAAGTTGCTCATGGAATTCCGACATTGCTACTTCATATCTTTCGCATATACGCGAGTAAAAACGGTTATGGGTTCCTTTTCCCTAAGAAGTCGTGCGTTACTAAATTTGAGTTATCATAAAATTATTCCTCTGGTGAACATAAGTGCATGCGAGAGAGGATGAATCACATTTTGTTGCAGGCTATGTGACCATGTTAAACCTTTATTACCAAACAATTTCTTTTGTTTTGATTCAAGGGTATTCGACTCCCAAATCCTTGATACCCAACAAAAAAGTGCACTTCGTGGGTCGTGAGAGGGAAAGTGAAGAAATTCTTAGTCGTTTTAAGGATAAAGATACTCGCCTTATTAATGTGTGCGGTCCACCAGCTTTTGGAAAGACGTGGTTGATCACAGAGGTGGCACATCAGTTAGAAACACCAGTCTACTATGCATCTCTTCGCGGCATGACCACAATAGATGACCTGATCTCAAGGCTGCTCTCTATATTTGGTGACAGGAATTCGGCATTTCAAATTAAATTACAACCCTGCGATTGGCTCATTGATTGTTTAGAACAAGTTCAGGGGCCATTTGTTTTGCTTTTGGATGATGCAGACGAATTACTGGACTGTGGAGATGTCAAAGTAAGAAATGACGTGTTCGTTTTAATCGGAAGAATCCTGCAGTGCAATGACGTCAAGCTTCTCATCGCTTCGTATGAATCACTTGATGGCGAAATCGATGACCACGCTATCCATGTGGATAGAGTAGGTGTGCTTGATGAAGTTGCTTCGGTCAAGCTGGTGAAGACCTTACTGCCAGACATCTCAGACAGCGACTGCAATAAAATTGTGAGGGTAGGTGGACAAGTTCCTCTGGCCATGAAATTGATATGCAGTACAGTGAAAGAACCAAATTTTTCTGTTGACAAGCTTCTACAAGCTCTGGAAGATTCACCTCTCCTTGAAGTTTTGGACAACAAGCGTATTTTTAACATCATTAACACTTGTTATGAGAGGCTTGCGACCCAGGACAGAAATACGTTCGTGTCATTGGCTGCTATTTCCACTGGGTGTTTTGGGTTAGAAGAGGCAAGAAGCGTTTTAAATTTAAAAACTATCCAGCATACAGAAATAAGGATTAAGTCACTGAAGCGAAAATCATTGATAGATTGCAGCGAAGATTTCCAACACTGCACAATTCATTCCCTTTTCCAGTCCTTCATTGAAGAAAAGAGACAAACTCATCAAGAAACGGAAGATTTGTTTAAGAAGGCTCAACGTCACCATTACATCGACAATCTCTGCATTTTTGAAGCGAATAATGAAAAATATCTCACAGGTCGTTCCAACGAAGCACTTGCTGCATTTAAAAGTCGACGTGAGAAGATCATTTCATCATTTCGTAATGGAGCAAAAGATGATGAGCTCTATGACAAAGTTGTTGAATTACTGTCAATGGGAGAACTGTATCTTTATACTGTGTTAATAAATGAAGAAGCGCTATTTAAGGCGATTTATGATGCGGCACTGGAAGAGGCAAGGAGAAGAAAAAGGTCAGTTGATATACAGAATTTGTTGGCCGCCAAGTCCTTTGAGATGTGGGGTTGGTTCTCTCCGCAACGCCATAGTTGGGATCTCTTTCTTTATAGTGACTGTAGTTGTGTTGCTGATTGTCCAGTAAAGCTTCTTTGTTACCATGGCATTCATCAAATACTGTGCGGCAAGCTGAACGAGGGCATGCTCTCGCTTAACACCTGTGTTGAGCGGCTAAGCGAACGCTGTGATGAAAGAGTTCTGAAATCTCTTGCTTTGGGATTGCTGGCCCACTGTCAAGAGAGAGAGCAAGGAAATAAAAGCGGGCCTACGTCAGAAATTGAAAATTGCATATCATTGTTGTTTTCAAGAGCAATTGACGATGAAGTCTTATGCTTAGTGCGTGCAAGATTATTGATCATTAGTGATGTAGGAACATTTGAACACTGTGAAATGCTATTTAAGACAGCCATGAGCATAGCAGAGATCCATGGCCGTTGTCACGCCGACGGTATTGGACAGCTACATCTTGGAAAGTGGTTGACGGAGTGGCATCAGTTATATGAAAGATGCACAACAGAGGCTGCAAACTCATTCATGAATCTCTTGGGGTTAGAATCAGTGACTACTGTTCCAATTGCCTCACTACCTAATTATGAAGTAATGCAGGATTACGAAGTAGTTGTACAGTGTATCAATTCATTATCGCGTATGGCCTTTGCTGGATTAAAGCCTTTTGGCGACCGTAGTAGCTCTCAAAACATGGTACGTGCTTTTACTGTTAAATCTTCCCTGTTCCTGATTAAAAGCACTATAGAAAGTAATTTGAAATCGCACGAAATGGTCCCTGGAATAGATTTCAAAGAACTTGCAGTAACGTACGAAAAGTTTGGCGTCCTCCTAGATTACGTTGGAGACTTGAGTGGGGCAATAGCTTCTTACGAGCAGGCAATACGATTGAGGAATGAACATGCTGGTAACCCTGTGAGTATAGCTGCAAGTCTCATAAGGATCGGATTTGTTTACTTGAAGATGAACAGCCTTGATGAGGCTGGAAAGGCATTTCAAAGGGCTTTGGAACTAAGGAAATCGTCAGGACTGGATAACTCGGAGAACTTCCTCATTTACAATTTGCTCGCTGTTATTCATCAGTTTCGTGGAAACCTTTCCGAGGCCCTTGGAGCACTTCACGAAACTTCAGTCCTACGCGAAAAACACTTAGACGAGAACCTTCTCACAGCTGCCACTTTGCAATATGCGGGAGCAATTCATACTCAGACAGGTGATTTTGAGGCTGCCCAGGAGGAAATTAAAAAAGCTTTGGAAATGCTTACCAAGTTGGGTCATACGGGAACCAGTTTTGCTCTCTGTTGCCTTAATCTTGCTTGCATTCTCCTTATTTCGGAGTGCCAAACAGACTTAGTCTTGGCTCTTGAGTTCTGCCAAAAAGCTGTGCACATATTTATAGAGTCACTGGGTGAAAGCGATATCACAGCTAAAAGCTTGTATTTGGAAGGACAGATTCATGTAGAGATGAACAATAACCAGTCAGCGATTGAAGCTTTTCAGAGAGCGTCCAGGATGATGTCAAATCTGTTAGGCGATCACGAAGATACAGCAGACAGCTTTTATGGTTTAGGAATAAGTCACTATGACCAAGGTGAATACGAGGCAGCTGTCAAAGCATTTCAGGAGGCCGCACGCATAAGATCCAACATCCTAGGAGGAGGAGGAGGAGGAGGAGGAGTCGAGCTAGTGGAGATCTATAGACTAACAGCATTAACATACTATCGGCTTGGTGTAGCACAGTGCAGACTAGAGGACCTTCGTGGAGCTCTAGCATCTTTACAAGAGGCCTCACGACTGAGAAGGGAAGCTTTAGTGGAAGACCAACTCACGGATGAAATCTTGCAGTTGATTAATCTTGTCTGCGAGGATCTGAGTGTAGGCGAACTGGACTGTGACTAACGTTCATGGGAAGACGCTGTGACTGAAACACGTGCGAAACTCCTCGATCTCTACTCAACCCAGTTTGCAACGCTGTTATGATAGAGTTCAAACCAGCAGCATCAAATACGGACACAAAGAATTCTCCTTCGCCAGAATTTGACCATACTTAAAAATTCAGTGACTCGTTTGATTTCGACCCAGCACCTAAACTGAGATTTTCAGATACGTTTGTAGGTTAGTTTAAAGACACGATCAAGAAATAACAAACAATTTCCAGCAAAAACAAGTAGGTTTAAAGGTACCAAAGAAAGACAAATCTCCCTTGATAACACTTTCCTTCGCTGGATTTAGCCCTGTTTCCTTTTCAATCATGCGTGTTCATCGAAATCCGTCGAACAGGACATTATACTGTTTTGAGGCAAGAGGACGTCATGATCTAACACGAAATTCTAGGACATAAGAAGGAACCGTAGCAGACAAAAGTTTAGAGCCTTTCGTTAAACTGCCATTGGCAAGAAAATTTTTTTATATATCTGACGTTGATCAATTTTTAAAACTTATTTTTATGGCAAGCATTTTTAACGAATTAGTTCTGAGGAATTTAAGCCACACTTTCTAGTTTTGAATACAGACGTCTCTCAATGCTAGTTGTAGCTCAGTCCAGCTGCACTAGAACGAGTCGAGTGCTTTGTGGAGTCCCAGGAATATGGAAAGTGCATTAAGCCTGGCAAAAAGCCTTGGGAATATTATGATTTTTTTGAGTCAACTTGTTTCACTGATTTTACAAGTTCACAATATTGTAAGGCACCAGGTGGAGTAGCAAGTCAAAGTTTCTTTGACTTGGAAAGGTTAAAAGAGTTAGAGCAGATTGTGTAGTAAAGAGAATTGAGTTTTTTTTTTGGAACTGAATTACAACTCTTAGCTCTCCAAACCGGCTTTTTCGTCTCGATTATACAGCACAAGCGCTTGCTGGTATTAAATAAAGAAGCAAATAAAAATTTAAATAACCTTTGATGCTTGGACTCAAATTGCAACCATTTCGGTTGCTGTTTAGTTAAACAGTAGACTTGCTTTCTACACGCAGATTCGCGCATTAGAGTTCTAAGTATTCTGTAAAAAAGTGAATTGAGATCTGTCCGAGGAACACTTTCTGTCATAATGACGCACAGTTTTAAGTATCCACATGGGAAAAGTAAAGGTACTTTTATTGGCTCTCATCAGCCACGGTACTCGGCTGACATTTTAATTCCAGTTTTTTTTTTCTTTTTCTTTTTTTTGGAAGGGGGGGGGGGGTTGAACAAAGGAGTTAATATTTTTTGTATACAAATTTTTAATCACTGTGTGAGCGAGTGATGTAGGAATTTTTAAAACGCTCTCTATTCTTTGGTGTTCTCAGTCCATCTTTGCTTTCAGTTCTAAATGGTCCGGGGCGCTTAGAAACATCTTTTCAATTGAAAGGAAAGAGAAGCTGAATACTTCTTAGTTTTATGCGCAAGTGCAGTAAGCAAATGTTTAAAAAAATTCAGGCTTCGCTTGTCGAATACTCACGTAATCGCACTTTTGAAGTGCGTACAACCTGCAAAGTGATTGGCAAAATTGTTCCTCTCTGTTTAAGAATACCCCAAGCTCGATTCCGAGTCAGCCTTTGAGGAAAATTGCTTATTCCGTGCGTCCCTCTGAGGGAACGTGGCTGGAAAGCTTTCGTGTGATCCTCGCTTGTTCCCTCGCGTGTGACCCTCGCGCATTTATTTTTTCTCGTATTGTAAAAACAAAAATCGTCTGAGTCTTCATTAGGGCAAGAAAATGTAACCATCCCCATATCTCATAAAAGTTCAAATATTTTTCGTGGTTTAATCGACAAAGATATAATTACTGGTATTTACTCTGCAAAAACTGTCGCTCAAGTGCAATGGTAAAAAACCATTAAAAAAATCGCTCGGTTACAGACAGTCGTTTACTTGTGTTCTGGAAAATTTCAACGAGCCTCCCCTAACAAATATTTGGTTATTATCTTGTTTATTTTCGATTTTTAAATTTTTTTATAATTATCATTTCTCGTGTGAAATTGTCCTTTGGCTTAGTTGGGGTGAAACGATGTGGTTTGATTGCGGCCTCTTACAATTTAACGCAGTTTATTTTTAGATGTGATTTTAGAGAAGGTTAACAAGTTCAATGAGTCTGAAGTGAGCACAAAATTTTTAAAATATGGCGTAAAAAATAGAAAACACTTAACTTCATTGATAAATCACATGGGTTTATCGCTAATGTCATCAAAAAGATGAAGCCATGACAGACCCTGACAAGTAACGTCTGAAATGCTCGTGTCTTCACGTCAAACTAATTTACTCGTGGCAGACATATTCAGAAATTGTTGACAGCCTTCGGATATAAGTAAAGAGCACCGGAATAGAATTTCTCGAATAACTTCTTTGTTGCTATAGAAACTTTTGTGTAAAGGCGACGAGTCGTGACAAAACGCTCAATTCATTGGTCAAAATCTTTTCAACATTGAAAAGGGAGCTAATCCAAAGAGCGTTTTTTACCGTCACCTTATTTGCCGAGATTATCTGGATGGCCGAGCAAAGGAATGCATTTTGCATGGGGCATCTCACAAAGACGTGCTAGTTAAAATTCCTGTTTTTTTTTCGAGAGACATTCATCTGAGCTGTTCGCTAGAACCGTAATCAGACCGGAAATATCTGAAATTTGTGTGTTTGGCGTGATAACAACTTGCGCACCACACGAACTGGCCCAAATTCACTCACGCTAAACTTTTCGCAAACAACTGCTACGTTTGCTCGCTGAGGCAAACGCGTTGGAAAACAAACAGTTATACTTGGCGCTGTTGGATTACCACCGAGCGAATGTCGAACGCGCGCGAACGAAAGAATAGGGGCGGCCAGATTTTCGACGAAAACAGCAACGGAATCAAAGATCCGAAGTTCTTGAGTCCGAATTCCTCGTCGAAAAGTCTCGATGTGTCCTCTGCTTCGGACAACGATTCTTGGGCCTCAGAAGATTCGTACCCAGACGAGCTACCCTCACCGCCAATCCAATGGAAATCGGAAATTCCTTGGACGCCTGATCGCCGCAGAAGTTCTATCAAAAAACCTCAATTTCAACTCGATCCAGTCGCGGTTCAGCTGAACGAATTCTACGAGAATCGCGTGCGGATAAGCTTGGAACGCAAGGAAATCTGCGAAGAAATCGCCTACAATGCAGTGCACAAATGTTTCCGTAAAATCCAGATGGTGGATAACCGATTTCGCGCTAATAGCGTCGTTTCGCAGGGAATTCCGTACGATGGATTACAAGCTGAAGAAGCCATTCAGATGGACATGCTTGTACAATTGTCCCCTGGAAGAAGTTCAGCCATGTACACCGCCTACGATGAGCGGACGGGCGGAATGCGCGTGCAGCCGAGCTCCGAAGATTACTCCGTCTGGGAGGACTGCATAACAACCAATGGCTTTTTGTCGGCTGGAAAGATCAACTCACTGCTTAGAAAGTACGTCAAGAAAGCTGTGAAGATTTTAAACTTTCATATCAAGGAGGGTCGCGCAGATAAACTGCCGAAGAATCTGAGTAGCATCTCGGTCGAGAAAGGACCGGTCATTCGAGTGATTGTGAATAAAGACATTTCGGTCGACATTTTACCAGCGTTTGTGATTCCCGATTCTCGTTCAGATCCGTCTCGCAGAGATTGTCCATCTTCATCGCACGTGGTTTGCAAACCGCACGTTCAAAACGAGATGATTTGGCGCCTATCATTTTATGTGGCGGAGAAAAACCGCATCCGAGCTCTTAGCGAGGGATGTCGTGTACAGCTGTTACGAATCTTGACCGAAATTCGCGACAATGAGGATCAACTGAAAAAGCTTTCATCGTATCACGTCAAGACACTGCTGTTCCACGAATCTGACGTTTATCCGGACTTTCACGAGTGGAGTGCGGAAAAAATCTCGCGCCGTTTCTTTGGCTTGTTAGAACGACTGAAAAAAGCGCTGAAAGAGGGCAACCTACCACATTATTTCATGCAACCGCCAGATTTCAAGCAAGTGAATTTATTCGCTGATCTCGACGGGAAAACTTTGTCAGACATGTTGGACGTTGTAGAAGACATTATGGAAAACCCAATGGGTGTTCTTAGGACTGTGGGTCGAGAGAGAAGACAGACAATGTGGCCTTGGGAGTTAGGCCTGTTTTTACCCGCGGGACTGACCTCCTAAAGTGGGACAGGTAAGTCTCGCCGCATATTTCAACTGTTTGCCATATCTATGCGACGCTTTGATCATTTAACATTTGATTGTTAAAGTTAACTGACAATCTGTTTTTCGATCTGTTGTTCTCATTTTGAAGGTTATCTTCTGTTAAGTTGTTGGACGCAATTTCTTTCACACGATCTTCACTCAAGGTCAATACCAACTCTAATCCAGTTTTCAAAAAGCTTTTGTCTTTTTCAGCAAATGTGCCAAACGCTTTTGCTGAAATCATTTAAAGGCTTACGTAATTAAGTAACGATGCGTTGTTTTAGCTGCTTTTCAAGACTTCGGTTAGTTTGCTTGCCAGTGCAATGCAATTATTGACATATTTTCGCGGAAAAATATGAGTTTAATAACTTAACTCGCTCGATCATTTGATGCAAGAAAAAAAAAATTCTCTCTTTTTATCCTCCTCTTAAATATCATGGGTATTTCATAATGATAAATTTATCTCCGGTTGAAAAAAGAAAATTATTAAAAACAGATGGTTAACTGTCGCGCCAGATAACGAGTTAGTGACGTCAAAAAGGGAAGAACTTATTTATTGTATCACATTACGCCTTGCAGTGAAATTTCAAGACGGAAATCGAAATTCCATTTGAACGCCAACATTTGACCTCTTTATAATCTAAAACAACACAGATCTGCAAAGAATAATACTTCATATATTCCTTGAAATGTTTTAACAGTTATTTAGCAGCGGTTTGCGATCGGTAATTATGGCAGTTTGTCTCAGCAGAAAGACTTTTTCGTAGATGTCTTCAAACTTACAAAGTGCTATCGTGTGATATTCACTTGTTGTACTATGAATAGTACAAGTTTTAAGTCAAGCAATTAAAAGAATCCAAGAGCTCTTTTGACGGTCAAAACCGTCGTCGTTGTGTTATAAAAAAAAATGATCCGGGCGCTTAGATCATCACTAAAACACTTTTGCTCCAGTAGGTTCATTAAGGTTTTCCCGAGTACAGAATGTTAACCTTAGCATGCTACAGTAACCCAAGCCTGGCGTTAAATCGGAGAAAGTGATGCAAATTGCCAAAAATTCATTATAATTCCAATAGCTGCTTATTAAATGAATCATAAATTATTTGAAATGGCAGCTCATTTCACCCAGCATAACATCACATCCTACGAGCAAATATTTCCCTGACAATCCACTTTACTAAGAAAATAAACCAAAGAACATTAATTAATTAAATCGAAAACTATGACATTCCTGTCTAATTCAGAATGCGTGGAATGTTGAATGCTCCTCAAAAACTTCACCAAAGGTATTTAATGATAGAAGGATAAGTGATTAAAGGAGCTTTCATAAATTTTATTATTCAACACTTTTGCAAGGTAAGTGACGACAGGGGCAAATAAAATAAGCAATTTGAAGGTTTAACATTTTAAAATAGGTTTCTAAAATAGGTTTCTATTTGCATAAACTCATGCAGTAACGCGCGTGTCGTGCTGCGCGCCTCTCGCTCGTAAATGCTTGACGTGAATTAATGCTGTACATTCTAAATACCATTGTTCATAAATTTCCTTTTTCAGAAATCCATTTTTAATGACCCTCATGATCACAGCTGGCTGGCGAGAAACCAAATCATGACACTAATCCGCCTTAAATCAAGAGTCAAACCAGCATGTGTGAACCGGATCAACTTGATGGAAGCTACTTCAGCGAGAGTTGGGAACTTGACGAGTTCAAGAAATCGTCAGAGGATTAGGAAACAGTCCAGAAATACTTGACATTTGTCAAAATGTTCGCGCTTGGAAGAATTCAAACTCGTTCACCAAAAGTCATCAAGTCACGTAGAGCGTAAAAACTATGCAATCAATAGAAGTGTGTCACACAAGAAACGAGCAACAAAGTCGATTTTCAAAGGTTTTTGTTGTCCTTTTTACGCTTCACGTTTCCAAGTTACCGCGATTTCGATCGAGTATTGCATTTCAGGAAAGTTAGCCAAGAGTCTTTCGCCTGTTTGCCAAAAGCATTTTTGTGGGGTTAATTTTTCTTGAAAACAGATTGTAAAGTGTAGAAGTTTTGAAATTTGTTTGCCGCAACAAAGAACACTTTAGCAACATGCATCTTCACGGGTTTTTTTTCCGGAGTGAATCGGGGTGTAACTTCAAGAATAAGGCTACTCTAGGTTTTCTAATAATGCATTACTTTGATGTTTTATCATTTTTCCTATCATGAAATCCACTGATGGAAAAATAGCATAAATTCCTCGTAATAAATTATTCAAAGATACATCTTTTCTACTGTTTTTGTAATCAAATCATATCTGGTCTCTGAGGCATACACATGTTATAATGGACTTGTTGATTCCAGAAGTCAGGTCCTTTCCATCCACACCACCCCTGCAAAAAATTATATGAACAACAAAATCATACCAGGTATCAACAGGCTGATCATAGACCCACCCCTCCCAAATCTCAAATAATCCTTGTCCAAGGTCACCTGTATGACAAATAAATTCCTTCACAAACTCACCTTGTCTAATATGACTTTGAGATCTTCCCCACCAGTGTAATGTGGATCAAGAATTAAGAACCTGCACAGGATAATAAAAAATGATGAGAATTTCCTTTTTCACAGGACAGAATATGCAGAACGCTCATCATCCCCTTCAGTCTTGCATTATTCTAAAATTAATTTGCCATTGAAGGTTTTGCATCCTTCATGGTAGAGCAAAAATTCATGGCTTATTAATAATAATACTTTGGAGAAAAATAGAAAGCCAGTTAACAAAATTCATTATTACCATAATCACTGCATATTGAGATTAGATGACCACGAAGACGCAAAGATTATTGATTGTTTCTTGAGCAGGAATGTTTGAGAGAAACATGTTATGATTTACAAATTGGAGACCATAACAAAAGGCTCCTAGATTGTTCCCGATAGACTGATAGATTCTCCTGTGTCTCCTTGTGAAACACACAGAGAATTTGATTTTGCATCAAGTCACTTAAAGCTTTTTTCCCTTAACCCTAAATTTCTTCATCAGAAAATAAAAAATCAAACTTGTGGGTGGTGTTAAGCAATACACCAAACTTTCTTTGAAGTAATTAATAGCACACTAACCTTATGTCCCCTGTTTGATCATTAAAATCAACCCCCAGAATGGTATGTGCTAAAACACCACCTCCTGTTTGACAAAGCAAAATGTAAAATGAAAAACAGTCAATGAGAAAATACTCAAATAAGTGTCTTGCTTGCCCCATTAACCCTTCAACTCCCATAAGTGACCAAGACAGAATTTCTCCTTACAATAACAATAGTATATCAAGCAGAAAAGTGATGAGAATAACAACAAATATCAGATGGAGGACTATTAGTTGATCCAGCACCAAATTCTCTGAACTAATATCATAGGAAAAGGATGGCAGACAGTAAGGAGAATTATTAATGACATCTGAGAGTGAAAGGGTTAAGATAACATACCAATCATAATGGGAGTTCCTTGAGTCTGAAAATGATGCAACAGATCTCTCCCTTTGGTGCGCATCTCTGCTCCAGTGCTGACAAACATAATCTTTGATGTGACTCCCAAAAGATGTTCCAGGCACATGCTGACTTCAAAGGAGCCTATCCATTGCCGAGAACCCACAAACTCCTTGCCTTTGTCTTGGAGATCAACAAGTGCTTGTTGAATTTCCCGATGGCTTGGGACAGACTTGGATGTGTAGCCTTGGTGAACAAACCAGGAAGCAATGGTCTGAAGTGATCGGTATGCACAACCCCACCCCTGAGCAGAACAAGAATATTGTAGCAGTCACTAATCGCTAACATGAACTTCTATTAATCCTGAAGAACTTCAGCTGATAGGACACCACTGGGGCTACAAAGGGTGTCCCCTGATTAGAGGTGTCCCTTCAATGAAGGTAACAAATACAAAGATTTTTGGTCAGGGGTATTTTTCGGGTGCAACCAAAGTCTGTGTCCTGGGAGGGGCCATGTTCCCTGAATTCAAGCATTTTCCCTCGCAGTTTAACTGTTGGTGAAACAAACACCAAGGTCATGAGAACAAAGGAAAAGGTTGCTAACTAAAGATGCTCCTGGTTATTCAACAAATTCTCCTTGTCAGTATCACAAGAAATGTACAGAAAATAGTATGGAGAATATGCATAGCGATGAAAGGTTGTGTAAGAATTTCTGCTACATCTAGTTTTCATTTCCAAGATAATTTTGGCTCATTATAGTTGAAAAATTTGAGGTGCTCACAACTGAAGAAGTTTCATCTTACATCTATGCACCTCTAAATTTTTTCAGAGAACTAAAATTCCAACCACCAACATACCCTCCCCTCCTCCCTTCCCAAAAAGTTATTGACTGCAAGTCTTGATTTAAGATACATACATCATCATTGAAGTTATCCTGCATGTAATGGTGATAGGAATATGTTCCATCGACAACTGCTACAGTACCACAAATCCCTGAAAATCAAAAGAAAGTAAACACTTTTTCCATCAATGCACTCTGATGAAACAGTCTAATACACAATTCAATAAAAATCAATCAATTAAAATTGAGCATACCTCCCACCAATCCAGTGTGAGGATTTGTCAAGTAGATACCTAGATTGCATAGAAAAGAGAAGTGTGTTCCCATGAGTGACCAAGTGAAAATTTCTCCTTACAATATCAATACAAAATCAATCAGACAAGAGAATAAAGAAGATATCAATTAGGGGGTTATAAGTTGATCCAATACCAAATTCTCTGAACTAACATCATAAAAATTGTATTGCAGACCGTAAGAATAGCTAAGGAGATTTAGCTCAAATCCCTCAAAAAAAGCTTTTAAACCATCACAGTATTTTTAGATTTTTTAAGTGTTGAATATTTCTCCCACCCAAACATAGACAAGGCAGATATAATCTAATCAAACTACAAGAGCCGGACCTGGTTTACAAAGAGTATGCAAAATAGAAGAAATGCTTTTCCTCTTCAATCTGACATAAGTTCACCTCAGGTTGACTCCCCCTCCCTCCATGCAATATTTTTCCATGTTTCCCTTATTGGTTTGGAGGCATTTTATAGAATTTTCAATTCATCTATAAACATCCACTACAATTAATTATGCAGGGTATAAATCTTCCAGGAAGACTTCAGAATAAAGACTTCAGGTAACAAACTATGGGAGTCCAATCAGTTCTCTTACAAGAAAACAGCTCATTCAACCACTTCTAGTAATGACTAAAAACTCACAAACCTTGCTGCCTCTCATTTTCAAATTTGTATCTGTTGGAAGGTCTCATAAGAGGTCTGTTTTCTGGCAGAAGAAGTCTTTTGTGAAGTTTCAATCTGTATGATACTGCAAGAAACAAAAGTCTATGTCACAACAAGAAAAATGTATACTCTCTTAACAACCTTTTGGGATAAAATTTCTTGAAGTTCAAAAGATTTGAACAATGTGATCATGTGGATTTCTTGAATGAATGCTCATTTTGGTATCATTTTAGTAGTTTAATAAAGAAAGATGTTTTTGTCCTGTCACAAGCTTGGGACAAAGAAAATTCTGAATCCCCATGAGGAATCAAACCTCAGGCCTTCAGATTCTGTGCTTTAATGCTCTACCACTGAGCCACAGAGAGTTCATGGTGAGCGAGGTCCATTACCAAGTTCATAATTATTTGACATGTGTCCTGCATACTGCTTGCATCAGCGATGTTGATAGCAATTTCAAATTGGTTTTCTTTGTATTTTGCCTTGTTTATAACTGGAACTAAGAAAATACAATGAAAGTACACTAGTTTAAGACCACTGTGACCCCAACTCATCTCAAACTACCAAATAATTGAACTGACCAAGTTCATCCTCTTCTGTTGGTTCATCATCTCTTTTAATGCTGGGATAAACAGCAGTCACCAAATGACAAAACCCAGGAAGCTTGAAGTGATGCACTTTAACAAGAGCTAATGAACCTCCCTAAAACAAGAAGTGTAAGGAAAGATTGTGAACTCAGTAATGAACAGCTTACTTTTCTTTAGCTACTCTCTATTATCTTAAGCAGGAATGTGTCTTCCATTCATGCTTCATTTTTCATTAGAACTCCAACTTTCACCCTTTCATCCCTAGATCACACTATAAATTCTCCCCTCTGTCTCACTCACACTTTTGATAATTTCAGCACTAAGAATTTGTTTTCAAAACAATATCATCTTGTTAATATTTTTCCTGTATTTTTATCACCTTTCTACTTGAAATTGTACTAATATTGTAAGGAGAAATTCCATTTTGGTCCCTCCTGAGTTCAAATGGGGTTGAAGGAAGATGGTGAATATCTACCACAATTGAAGCACAAAGGAAAATATTTTGTTCCTCAACAAGAATTTAATGCTCAGACCTTCCAATTGGCTTCTCTTAAGTTTGAATTCTAAGTTTAGACAGGAATCAGATTTTTACTTTGTCTTACATTTGATACATGTTTGTTAATTTCTTCTTTGTTTGATAAGCAAGCTCAAAAATTTCTCATCATTTTCAATCTATTTCTACAAAACTCAAACTTAATGTTAAAATTATTCAATTTTATTTAACATGTTCATTTTAAGTCTGATGACTTAATACAATGAACTCTGAACAGAACAGAGCTGACAGTTCATAAAATATCTTTAGATTTAACGCAGCAATACATGACTGAGTTCATTCCAATTGGCAGAAAGAACCAGTGAACCATACCTTGGAAAACTGTGCCATAACTGAGGCCATCTTTCTAAGCTGACTGCACAGGGCAGAAATAAATAACTTTGGCAAACTTTTCAATGGAGTGTCCCTTGATAAATTTAACACCACATCCAATGCCAGGTTGTACTTAGTTTTAGACTTTGTCTCTATGAAAACAAAGTATAACAGTCAGGAAACTTCTCACAGGCTTGGTTTTAATTTTGAATATTTGAATATTATACAGTGACATTATAATTATCATTTAGCCACATTAAATCTCTAAAATATAGAGCTTTGATAACAATGTGCTTATTGACTGAGTGGGAGGGCTGTAGGGGGAAACATTTATTTTAAGGGGCCCATGTATCATGACCAAGAGCCAAATATTTTCACATGCAGGCTGCCCTAACTCATCAATAAGCATTTTATTATTTGACCACACTATTCCTTTTCTTCCTTTCTCCTTTTAACTAGCTGCTCACTAAGCCATAATGCTTTCTACAGCCCTTCATAGCCAGTGGGTAGGAAGGGCTGTAAATATGGCTGTATTACTTTTCCTGAATTGAGTTTGAGACTACATGTATGATGCAAGAGTGGTAGATATACTACTTTTTTTGGATAAGGAAGGGGGGGGGGGGAAGGAGGGAATTAGTTAGATATGAAATCATGGACATTTGTCTGGGCAAAAAATAGTTTTGTACAAGTCATATCAATGATAATTATAACACTATTGATCTGAATACAGCATAGGGTGTCACCTTTCTTGTATTGGATAACTGGTACAAATGCTTCATGATCCCTGATATTGTCTGTCAGTTGAGATAAGTATCGTACATCCAGTACATCCTAGGATAAAGGAGAGGATATGATTGTGAATGGAAGACCAGTGCCACATGACAACATCTGTTTCTACACTGGCCTGTATATAACAAAAGTAAAGCCTCAAACCTTAAGTTTCACTGAGCCAGAAGGAGGAGCAGGCTTTGCACTTTTCTGTTTTCCTTTACTCTTGACTGATCCATGTATACTTTGCAATTTTTCTTGTCCTAATTCAATCCTTTCCAAAAGTGATTCGCAGCTTATTGACTCATCGCTTCCACTATCCACATTCTTAAGCAACAATTTACAGTCTTTTATATGGAAGGCAGTTGAGGTTGAATCTAATTCTTTGCAAGACTTTTCAATATTCTTTGCAATTTCTGACATACCTGTGAGAGAAGTAAAAAAAAAAGATTCTCACTTTTCTTTCAAATATCCTTATAACTTTATTCCTGTTTTTACCTTAGTTTTTCTCCCTATAACTGTTCAGTTGTTCATATATCAGGACATTTCAAGTTTGCATATACTCCACTCTACTCTTTATTTTAGAAATTTATGGCTATTAGGTTTGTTTGATCAGGAAATATCTTCACACTGATGAAAAGCAATCATGGTAAACAATAACAGGGGTCAAAATGACAACAGAGCAATGGACAAAACCCAGTCATATTTAGGTTTTCCCAGGCCAACTCCTTGGATGACAAGACATTTTGTCTATTGGTTTACAAATGAAGAATTTAATTCCAAGCTAAATTCAGGTCGTAAATATGGCCATATCACTTTTCCTGCATTGAGTTTGAGACTACATGTATGATGCAAGAGTGGCAGATATACCACTTTTTTTGATAAGGAGGGGGAGGGGGGGAGGAGGGAATTATTTAGATATGACATCATGGACATTTGTCTGGGCAAAAAACAGTTTTGTTTGGCACCAACTGGAAATTGTTTCAAGCCTTGAATGATCATCATTTACTGTCCCCTATTGAGTTCACAAAATAATCATGATACTTTGAAAAAATACTGATATGTCATGCTATAAAAGGGATAAGTCAGCCATCTTAAGAACATACCATTTTGATCTCTTGAGACAGATAGAGGTATGTTTGCTTGAACTCGAAAGCAAATCCTCTTTTTCTGAAATTCTTCCTGTATACATGTTTCTTGCCATTCACACTCAGACACTGATTCAAGATCCTTGTTGTAAATAAAACACTTTTCTCTTTCACCATCACTGGTATTTATGTGCTGGAACAGTACAAATGGACCGTTGGTTACTGAATCATCCTGTGAAATATGAAAAGTTTAAATGTAAGGATGTATCTTAGTTGTCTACTAATAATCCCTCTAATTGATATTTTTATTTTTTTCTTGTCACTTGTCTGCTTGACAGAATATTGATGTTGTAAAGAGAAATTCTGTCTAGGTCACTCATGGGAGCTAAAGGGTTAATTAAACCTTTTACTCTTGGGAGAGACCAACATGAAAAGTCTCCTTACAAATTTATTTATTGTTCTCTTGTGGTTCATCTGATTGTCTGAGCACAAGATCAAAGAGTTTGAGATTATCACTGTAACTAATGTTTTTGGAATTGAATCCAAAATCAATGATGAAAAACAATGGAACACAAAGGTTTCATTTTAGCCCTTTACACCCTAACATCAAACTGCATATTCTCCATACTGTTCTCTGAGTATTTCCTAAGGTGCTGACATGGAGAATTTGTTTAGCAATCAAGGGCTTCTTTAGTTAGTGATCATTTCCTTTATTCTCATTAATTTCGTGTGATTCAAGGGTGGTATTGTAAGGAGAAATTAGATACCAGTCACTGACTCTTACAAGTACGTCTATATTTCTAAATTGAGTTCTAGAAAATATATTAGAGATTCATAATCTCACCTTTGAACATTTTTCATCAAATATTCTTTTAACCTCATCAGGTTCTAGATTTGTTGGTTTGACACATGAATAGTAAATTCCTACCAGATTTATTCCTATAAGAGGAAAGAATCAGGCAGAATTAATAATAAAATAACAATCATAACAATTTTTCCTTCTTTACATAGAAGCTACATGCCTTCCCCTATGGTCAATGCTAATATATATAGGTGGCTCAGTCTTCAAATCTAATTTTAAATGAAGGTACTATTAGAGAATCCTAAATTACATTACATTAATAATTATATAATAACAAAGAAAATTGTTATCATAGACAATAAAATAAGAAAGAGGGAGAACAGCTTGGTGGAAGAATTAATACAGAATGGTAAGGACTTTTATATGTGTTAACAATTCCTCTGAGGAGAATTTACTGAAGAAAGATATTATATATGTCATGAAAGGAATTGTACCTAGTAGTAAAATTTTTATTTTAAATTTGAATGATTCTTTTGGAAATTCCCTAAAAGAGGATACCAATTCTTGAGAAAGCATTTTTAAATTACAAGGTTTGAGGGTTTTAAATTAAATTAACTATACAACTATGATAATTTGTTATTACTGATGGATTGAAAAGCTTAATAAAGAACAAAGAGAGGCCAGTCAAACAGTAGATGGCTTCATGAATTGTTGGTTGGCTCACTAGACAAATAGAAGGGATTATGAATGAATGGTTGGAAACATGATAAAAAGGGTTAATAAGACAGGCAAGATGTGAATTGATGACGGGTTAAGAAAAAAATTTAAGCAGACAGACCAACAGACTGTGTTTTGTGTTGTTCCGTGCTACAAGAAACTACATGTTGGAGGCAATTCTATGAGCAGTAAAATCACTGCATATTTAATTAGCCCAATGACAAAACAAAGCAAGCTATCAATCGTAACATATTGTAACAGACCAACAGAAAAACAAATAAAAGGGTCAAGTTTCTAAAAAAACCGTAGTGCTGCATTGGTGGGAGGGTATAACAGGTTAAATTTAGTATTATCAAAGTAAATTGGCCACCATAAAGAGTTTAAAAGGTGATATTTCAGAGCGATTGCAATGGGCTAATGCCAGAAACTTCAGCTTTTAAACTCTTTATGGTAGCCAAGTTACATTATCAACTCAGTTGATAATACTTCATTACCCCAACAGACATACAGACATACAGACAGACAGACTTACAGATGGACAGACAGACTTGTAGACAAATGACCAAAATGATGAACAAATGAATACTTTGATAAGAATAGCAAAATAATTTGTACTTTATCTAAACATAAGACCCCTGAAATAAAAGAAAAATTAATTCTGTACAATATTCATTTTAAAAAAACTAAGTCTGTCATGTTCATGTCTGTGTGGATTAATTAAGGTAGTAGAATATCACATGCAGATTACAACTTAAAATACAAACCGTTTGGAATGAGAGAAAACAATTCTGATTTCTCACTTTTCCAGTCAGGAATTCCTGGATACCCTTTCTTAGCTGGAGGATGACTTCCTGTACAAGCCACACATCCTATTATGCGAATTTTATTTAGGAAAACGTCGCCATAAAGATAGCAAAGAAAATTATCGTATTTTCCTTCCTGAAGATTCTTCGTCCGTTGAAGCAATTTCTTGAAAAATAAAATATACCAGATATTTATCTCAGATATTAAAATTAATAATACTAGCTATAGACATCGAAAAATTAACGAAAGCTGATATTTTTACCTGTTTTATCGAAAAATCGATAAAAACTTGCATGTCCGCCATGTTTTTTTACGGTAGCCCGCGGTATAAAACTTGCGGTTTTTATGCTAACCGTTATTGATGTCATGTAATGTTAATATATTATTTGTTTTTCTTCTTCATGAGATGATCAAAGCATCTTGCTTGAACAAAGCTTGTTTTACCATTCCTAAATTCTCTGAAAAATCGAAAATTATCACAGGATCTTATACCAAAGGGAGAATAAGTCTACTTGATATTTATGGAAAACTTATGGAATCGAAACATCGATGGAAATTTTTTCCATTCTTCTTCAGCTTTTGTAAACTCGCGGGCATCTGCAGACCCGACAACAACAGACTGGTCCAAACGGTTCATTTCTGTCATCCTATAAAAAACATTTCATCAGCGATACATGCTGCGGAAAACTTTGTAAGTAAAGAGTCCTCTCCCCTTTCATTTTCTCATCAAGGGGAAAGGACATTGATACTGAGACATATTCTTGGTCATTTCTTGTGTATTGGTCATAGGCCAAATACGTCCTTTAAAGGAAGTAACGTCGAAACTGAAACAAAGGCCGGTTGTTGCAGAGTGAAAGAAGTGAGTGACTCGTTGGATGAAATTGGGAGTGTTAGTCAGATAAAAATGACAAATGTAAATCAAAGAGACCCCTCTACCTATCACAAATGTGGTGATGTCACTCGAGATCAAGAACTAGAAAATCATCAGCATTGTGGTAAAAATACGAATACTTTGGAACTATCTGGTGGATTTTCGGAGTCACCGTCTGAACAACAAGTACACAGTCCCACCGCTCCTGCTGGTGATGATGTGGAAGACAGCAATTTATTCACAATGGACACTGAGAGATCTGAATTGTCTCAAAGCTTTACAAATAAAAAAGAAACTGATAGAAACCGTGATAATAAGCCACTTGCCTTGGATGCTCTCACTGACCAGAAGTCAGGTGCAAAATACAAGCAAAGAAAGGGAGACAAAAGAAAGGGAAAAGAGCAACTGAATGCATTATCAGACGTTGGCAATGCAGATGCTGCTGGTGCATGTGTGAACAGACACAATGTATCCTTGTCCCAAAGAAACAAAAGGCCTAAAAGGATACAACCAAACTTTTTCTTGGCTGTGCGCATTCATAATCCTCAGATACATGCTGGTATCAAGGTAATCCAAGACTCAATTGCTACACATAGTAAGGAACTGAAGCCAGCCTTTGTCTCCTTGGCAACATTGCATGTTACCCTCATGGTCATGCACCTTGAGGATGCTGAAGAAATTCAGAAAGCAGGAAAAGTATTGCATCAGTGCAAGACATCTTTGGAATCCATCCTAGCCAAAAATGCAATGACGATAAGATTCTCTGGTCTTGGCCACTTTGGACATAGAGTTCTCTACGCAAAACTTGAGGAAGAGGGAAGTGACTTTTTGAAATCAGTTGAGGAAATTGTGCATGAAATATTTACAAAAGAAGGCATCCCTTCAACTGATTCTCGAGAGTACAATCCTCATATGACTGTCATGAAGTTAATAGGCCATAACCAACAGTTGAGGAGGAGTGGAGTCAAGAAAATCCCTGAGGAGAGCTATGCAAGCTGGGTCGACTTCAATTTTGGGGAAGAGCCAGTGACAGCTTTGCACTTATGTGCAATGGGTGAGAAAGATATAGATGGGTTTTATAAGTGTATGGCAACAATGACATTTGCTGATTCAGATGAAACATCTTCCAGTTGAACAGAAAAGGCAAGGACAAAGTCAGTAACGGGAAAGGGAAGTCAAAGAAACACATCACAATAATCTTGGCCATGGTTTGAAGATCTCACCATCCAGAGAACAGTGTTCTGGCCATTAGGCCACAATGTCTGCCTTAGAGTGCATTAGGATAGTTTAAAATCAATAGGATTCCATCAGTATTGCAAAAATTCATTTTCTTAATTATAAGTCCTCGTAATTTTATCTTTACTCTCAATGATGTGCCTATTTAAATTACACTATTTTAAGACTGGGCAGGTACAAGACAATTTAATATACAGTAAAGAGCTCACATTAAATAGTTTATTTTTTCCTATGTGTATAATGAACTGATTCTCTTTTATAAAATTTCATCACTGAACCAACAAATGCAGAAGAGGAAAAGAAAGATTATCACAACTCTAGGTCTTAGACTGAACTAATTTTATTCAGTCACTTAAGGTCATTCCTCTGAAATAGAACCTGCAAAACATTGCCTTTTGGTTGTTTGTGTCATGAGAATGTAAATTTTGAAATAAGAAAGGTGGGGGGGGTGAGTAAGCGGCAAAATATACACCTTGTACTCCTTGTAGTTACCCTTAGAGTTCCTTTAATATTATTAGAATTATATTTTTGAGTATCTGCTAAATGTACATTTCCAAAAATTGTTCCTTTACCTACAATGAGAATTGTTTTACATTTATTTCCTCTTAATTATTGAAAGCCCAGCCCAGTTGCATTCTGATAATCCTATCATATTCTATGCATAGAAATTATAAGTTGTACTTTCAACTGCAAAAAAAAATTATTCATACTATCATTTAGTTTCCCATTAAACGAAACCTGGGACATTAATTTCAAAATTTAATGACCATCAATCTTTTTTTTTTGTATTTTTACAACTTCCTTTAGAGGCCCTCACATTAGACAGTTTGACACCCTTAAAACCATCTTAAACAATTCAATTGCAAGAAAATTCCTTGACGATGTTTCATATAAACAATCATGGGAGTATCCACTGATAAAAATTACAGGGGCGTTTGTTTTACCTCAAAAGGGGATGAAATTTGTAGATTAGTGTCATGTAAGGTATCAATTCTTGAACAACTACTATAGAGATTGTTGTCGATTTTTCAGTCCTTTTACCCCTCAGTGTGACCAGTATCTAATTTCTCCTTAGAATAATGTAACTAAATCATTCAGATCATGAGAATAAAGGAAATGATCGCAGACCTAAGAAGCTTTAATTGTTCAATTAATTTTCCTTGTCATTACCAAAGGTAATGTGTAGAGAAGAGTAAGGAGATTTAGGATTCTGATGTTAGAGTGTAAAAGTTTACAGGCCTTAGAGGTTGTCAGTCTAAAATAAATTAAGGAACTCAATGAATGTTACCTTCTTGTGTAAAATTAATGGGATCATGTGCTTTTGGTAGCCTCTGTCTAATTGTTAGTCATTGTTTGATTGAGATATCAATTGATAGTCAATGGTTGGCTGATAATCAGTTAAAAGTGGGTTATATGTTTGGCAACATTTGGTTGATAGTTGGTTCAAAATTGGTGAATAGTCAGACAAAACTCTACTAGAAAATAGTTGCTAGTCAACTAACGGGGGTGAGTCTAAGATTTTCAAAAGAGGGCACTATGAGTGCCATAGGTGCGAGCTTTCCAGGGGAGTCTGGGGACATGAAGATGCATAGTTCCCAATTGGCAGCCTCCAATTCACTGCACCCATGGCTCAGCAGCCTATTTGTTGTCTACAATGAAGATTTGGGCCACAAATGA